AGGAAGGAAGATGGGAAGGAAAGAAGAAGGAGAAGGAAGGAGGGAGAGGTGGGAAGCGGGCAAGAGGGAGGAAGGAAGATGGGAAGGAAAGAAGATGGGAAGGAAGGAGGGAAGGAAGGAAAGAGAGAGGGGGGAGAGAGGGGGGGAAGGAGGGAGAGAGAGAGAGAGGAGAGAGAGAGAGAGACTTTGCTAGCAGAGGAAACACACTTAAGCAAGAAATCCAGACCTTTAGGGTTTGGACATGTATCCAGCTGTTAATGCTTTCCTCCCTGCAGTGAGGGAATTCAATTGAACAGATTGCCAACGTCCAGTTTGGGGTAGTGGTTAAGATGTTGGCCTTAGAGCAAGGAGATGGTGAGTTCTAGTCTTGCCTAAGGCATGAAATCTGACTGGGTGACTTTGGGCCAATGACCAAGAGGCGGTGAGTTCTAGTCTTGCCTTAGGCATGAAAGCTGGCTGGATAACCTTGGGCCAATCACCAGTAGGTGGTGAGTTCTACTCCCGCCTTAGACATGAAAGCCGGTGTGGTGACTTTGCATCAATCACCAGGAGTGATGAGTTCTAATCCCGCTTTAAGCATGAGAACTGGCTTGGTGACTTTGTGCCAATCACCAGGAGACTATGAGTTCTAGTCCCGCCTTAGGCATGAAAGCCAGCTGAGTGACTTTAGGCCAATCACCAGGAGATGGTGAGTTCTAGTCCCTTCTCAGTCATGAAAGCTGCCTGGGTAACTTTGGGCCAGTCGTCCCCTCTCAGCTCAGTCCACCTCGCAGGATTGTTGTGGAGAAAACAGCAGGCGGAAAAAGTACTATGTCTGTCCTCTGCCTTGACTCAAATTATATAGTAATAAAGATGGGATCAAAATGAATAAACCTTATTTTCAGAACCTATTTGGACAAATCCAGCCTGGATTTTTGATGTTTCTCTCTCTCTTTTGCTTCTTTGCAGAAAAGATGATAACCAATGAGGTTCTGGAAGGCGTCCCTTTGTTGGTTCTCGCTAACAAACAAGATATAGAGGTGTGATTTTTTTTTTACAAAAATTATTATTTTCTAAAAGGTACCTGTATTTAGGGACGCAGTGGCTCAGAGGCTAAGACGCTGAGCTTGTCAATCAGAAAGGTCGGCAGTTTGGCAGTTTGAATCCCTAGCGCCGCGTAACGGAGTGAGCTCCCATGTCAAACT